CATGTCCCTTGGGTCCAAACCCGTGTGTGTGTCCCCAGTACCCCCTTAATGCGCTGTGGTTCCTCCCAGTGCCTTGGCTGCAACTCCAGGTGTTCCCAAATGGTCCATTCCATACACCCTATTGCTACCTCTCGGTGCCCCAGGACATCTCATACTGTCCCTGTTGCTGTCCCCCACCGCATCCCTTTCTGACCCTTGCTGCGTCCTCCTCTGTCACCCACATCCCCTGCTCCAAACTCACGACTCTTCATCGAGCCCCTACATCCCCCGCTCCAAAACCGTGTGTGCCTCCACCTCGAATCCCCATGGTGCATCCCTCACTGCCTCCCCCCCCCCATCCCTCCCGCCTCTCCCTCCCGGTGCCCGGCGCATCCCCGCGCCCCGCCCCGGTGCCATCCCGCAGGATCCCCTCCCCCGGCCCGGCGGCGGCGCGAGGCCGCCATGGCCAAGCAGTACGACGTGCTGTTCCGCCTGCTGCTGCTCGGCGACTCGGGCGTGGGTAAGACGTGCCTCCTGTGCCGCTTCACCGACAGCGAGTTCCACCCGGCGCACATCTCCACCATCGGTACTCGCACCGGGGATGCGCGGCGCCAGGGGGTGGGAGCTGGGAGACGGGAAACCGGGCGGGTAGCGGGAGCTGGAAGCAGTGAGAAAGCGGGGGTAGGGGGGGCTGGGAGCAGAGCAAAAGCGGGGGCAATGGGAGCTGGGAACACCGGGGAACCTGGAAACCGAGGGTACCGGGAGCATCCCGGCTCCGGGAAACCGGGAGCGACGGGTAGTGGGAAAATGGGAAACTGGGAGCACCGGGAGGTGGGAGAATCCGGAAGAGGAGAAATTGGGGGCTGGGAGCAGTGAGGAACCTGGAAACTGGAGAAGTGGGAGCTGGAAGAATTGGAAAAATGGGAAGATTGAAGCTATGGGAAAATGGGAAACTGGGAGCGCTGGGAGCATCGCAGCACCAGGAAACAGCAGGGAAACCAGGGGCACCGGGAGCCACCACACTGGGGACAGGGAGCAGCGGGGAGCTGCAGTGCTGGGAGCATCGGAGGGCAGCGGAAGGAGCTCCGCGGGGGTTCAGAGTGGCACAGCACAGCTATGGGCCAGGAGGGCTGAAGGGGTCTGTGGGGGGGGCATCCCCAGTCCCAGCTGAACGTAGGGAGGAAGCACGGAACCACCCCCCAGGAAAAAAAATAATGATGATAAAGCTGCCGTCCTCCCATCCAGGGGTGGACTTCAAGATGAAGACGATCGAGGTGGATGGCATCAAGGTGCGCATCCAGATCTGGTGAGTGCTTGGGGAAGTCGCACCCCACAGTGCACCCCCTCGGGGTTCATCTAAGGCATGGGGTAAGGAATGACTTCTCCAACCCCCTCCATGCCCCCAGGGACACGGCAGGGCAGGAGCGGTACCAAACCATCACCAAGCAGTACTACCGGCGGGCACAGGTAATAGGGGCACAAGGGGGAGAAACTGAGGCACGGGGAGGTCAAAGTGCTGCCTCCTCTCCCCTCCCTGGTGCCTTTCCTGCAGGGCATTTTCCTAGTGTATGACATCAGCAGTGAGCGCTCCTACCAGCACATCGTCAAGTGGGCCAGCGACGTGGATGAGGTGGGGGCTCAGAGGGAGGTCCCTTTCATTTATAGGTGAGGTGAGAGGTGCTGATGTGCTCCCTCCTCCCCCATCCCTTTTCTCAGTATGCACCCGATGGTGTCCAGAAGATCCTCATTGGGAACAAAGCAGACGAAGAGCACAAGAGGCAAGTGGCCAAAGAGCAAGGGCTGCAGGTGAGCTGGTGGGGTGGCACCCCCTGCGTGGCCAGGGCCCCCCAGTGCACCAGGACCCCCCCCCGGAGCCTCCTGCACCCTGAGCATCCCCTTGTGCTCCCCCCAGCATCACCCAAGTTCTCCCTCCAAATGCTCCCCCACCTCCAGCCTCCCCTAAAATTGCCCCACACCCCAATGCATGGCCATAGACTGTGCACCCAATGGGACCGTCTGTCTGCCCCATGATGTTGAGAAATGGGGGGGTGACCCCTCACCCAAAATCCTATCGGCACCGCCGAGCCCTTTGCCTCGCAGCTTGCCCGGGAGTATGGAATGGACTTCTATGAGACCAGTGCCTGCAGCAACCTGAACATAAAGGAGGTGTGTGGGGCTGAAGGCGGGTGCCTCCCACCCCATCCCAAAGGCTGACCCCATTTCCCTGCAGTCCTTCACCCGACTGACGGAGCTGGTGCTGCAGGCGCACCGCAAGGAGCTGGAGGGGTTGCGCACTGCCACGGCCCCCCCTGAGCTGGCCCAGCTGGAGGAGGATGAGCAGCAGACCCCGGGGGGGCACGACAACCCCAAAAACTGCTGGTGTTGAAGCCTGGCCTCCCCCTGCCCTGCTACAGAGGGGGCATGGTGGGGGGACACAAGGAACGGGGACTTACCCCCACTCCACCGCAGCCCCTTGGTGTTTGGGGGGGGTCCCAGGCACTGTTGGCATACCCTGCAACCCTGTTTTGCACACCGTTTCCACAATAAAGGAGATACTGGAGCCCCTTCACCGGGAACGGTGTCACCTGGCGGTGCCACCGTGGCGTCCCCGGCACTGCGGCAACCCGAGCAGCGATGAATAATGGAGGGAACTCACCAGTGTCCACTTTCCTAGGGTGGGGACAAGGTTGTGGAGATGTGGAGATGCAGCGGTAACAGGGTCATGGGCACCAAGCAGTGGGCACTGGGATGGGTGGGAAATGGATGGATGGCAGTGGGAAGTGCAGGCGTCAGGATGATCATAGGCGCCGGGACAGAGGGACAATGGGATGGTGGTGGGCAGCAGGGAAGAGCTGGGCACTGGAACATGGTGGTATGAGGGTAGCAGCGAGCACACGTTTGGGTGGGCAGCGGGTTGGTGGTGGGCATTGGGATGGTTGGGCATTGGGTTGCTTACTGGGATGGGTGGGCATTAGGATGGTGATGGGCACCAGTACATGCAGACACTGGGATTATGGTGGGCACTGGGATGGAAAGACATTAGAAGGGTGGTGGGTAACGGGGCAGGTGCATTAGGACGGTCATGGGCACTGGGAAGGGTTGTGCAGCAGGATGGTGGCAGACAGCTGGATATTTGGGCATTAGGATGCTGTTCCTTATTGAAACTGATAGACACTAGGATGGTGATGAGTGCTGAGACACGTGAGCATCGGGACGATGGTTGGCAGTGGGATGGGGGAACCTTAGGGCAGTGGCGGTCACTGGGATGAGTTGGCAACAGAATGATGGCCACTGGCACTTGTGGTTATTAAGGTGGTTATGGACAGTGCAACATTGGGCACCAGGGCAGGTGTGTTTTAGGCCACTGTCACTTCCTGGGATGAGTGAGCATTGGAATTATGGTGGGCACTGGGACAAGCCGACATTAGAACAGTGGTGGCATTAGGATAAGTAGCGGGCAATGGGACAGCACTGAACATCAGGATGGATGGGTACCAGAAGGATGACACGCAGGCAGCAGGATTACGGCTGGCACGGGGATGGTGATGGACACACGGGCTTCAGGATGGTGGGCACTGGGACGGGCGTGCGCTAAGGACAATGTGGGGGCACACACAGCAAGCACCCTGCGCCCAGCCCCAGGCTGCTTTGAGCTCCGTGCTGTGGCAGCCACATCAATAATTGAGGCCGGTGGCGCTGCCCTGGCCTTCCCCCACCCCGTCCCTGGGCAGGTGCCAGCAGGTGGGCCGGCTCTGCTTTCCACCCAGTCACAGCACAGATGCCGTCACGTGGGCACAGGTCAGCCTTTAAGGCGGGCAGGCAGGCGGCAGAGCACATCGTCACCTGCAGCCATGAGCATTCCCATCGCCAAGTCCTTCTACGACCTCAGCGCCACCTCCTTGCAGGGGGAGAAGGTGGACTTCAACGTCTTCCGCGGGCGGGTGGTCCTCATCGAGAACGTGGCGTCGCTCTGAGGCACCACGGTGCGGGACTACACCCAGCTCAACCAGCTGCAGGCACGCTACCCGCGGCGGCTGGTGGTGCTGGGCTTCCCCTGCAACCAGTTCGGCTACCAGGTAAATCCACGGGAATGAGGGGACGCGGGGTGGCGGATGATGCGGCTCAGCCCCTCGTACCCTTGCCAGGAGAACGGCACCAACGAGGAGATCCTCAACTGCCTCAAGCACGTGCGGCCGGGGGGCGGCTTCGAGCCCAACTTCACCCTGTTCCAGAAGTGCCAGGTGAATGGGAAGGACACCCACCCCGTCTTTGCCTACCTGAAGGCCCACCTGCCCGCCCCCGTGGATGAGGCAGACCACCTGATGGCTGAGCCCCGCTTCCTGGTGTGGAGCCCTGTGCGGCGCTCTGACATCTCCTGGAACTTTGAGAAGTTCCTGGTGGGGCCCGAGGGGGAACCTTTCCGTCGCTACAGCCCTCGCCTGCCCACTGCCCAGATAGAGCCCGATATCCAGCGCCTCCTCAAGCTGGCCAAGTAGGGCCGTACCCCCCGCTCCAGATAGCCCCCGTCCTCTGCCAGGTGATGGCCCCCTCCGAAACCCCCATGGGGAGGGGGTCTGATGGGGTGGAGGGCTGGGGCCGCTGGGATGGGGCTGGCGGCAATAAATGAGCTGGAGGTAGCATCCAAACCCCCTTGTTTGCGCCCCCCTTCCTGGTTTTTGAGACACTGAGCACATGGGATGCAGGAAGTAGTTGTGCACAATGGAACGGTGCCAAAGCATGGCGGCAGCTCCATTATAGGAAGAGAGGGGGAGAGGTGAAAGCAATTTCTGCAGCCTCACAGTGAGGGTGTGCCACCCCGCCCTGCCCACAACAGGAATGAGTGCCCCCAGAGGGGCACAGCAGGCAGAGTGAGGCAACAGCCTTAGAAGGGCGTTGGGTGGGTGGGGAGGGGGTTGGGAGCAGAGCAAGCACTGGGAGGTGGGGCACAGGAGAATGACATCACCCCTAGCCTGTTCCCACCAAGGGGGGGAACAAATACAGAGTGCTTCTGCATGCAGCTCTGAGCTGTACTAAATTCACCTTTATTGCTCGCACTCCTCAGGCAGCTGCGCTGCACAGAACCGTTTCAGGGTGCCAACAGGCTGCCCATCCCCATTCCCCCCCCCCCCTTCTTTTCATCAACACAAAGCGGCCTCAGCTCAGGGCTGAAGCCCCCCACACCCAGGGTTACAAACTGCCTTCAGAAGAGTGGGGTCATCTGACGTGGGTCGTCAGGCAGGATGCTGACCGAGTCCTCGGCGCGGCCGCATAGCAGGCACAGCATGGTGTACTCCTGGAGCAGAACACAGCGCAGGAAGGGGGCTCAGGCCACACTATCCCCTCCCTCCACTGCCAAGGAAACCTAAGCTGTGGCTGACACCTGATCCCTGATTGCAATCAGATCACAACGGATTGTGTTTCATCCCCCCAGGACCCTGCCTCACTGGTTGCCCAGAGCCCATTTTCCAGCACTTTGCTGCTGAATGGGCAATGAGCCAGGGAAGAGGGATGGGGAGTGTGGGGTGGCTGCTTTCATGTGTGCCACAGAGCTCCTGAGCTGTACACCTGTGATACCGGGTCCAGTGCCAGAGCTGCTGCTCACCTCCAGCGGCTGTGAGGGCAGGTGGGCACTAGCAAAGATGAGGGCACCCCCCAGGGCTGGGGAGAGACCATGCAGCACAGCAGAACCCCCTGACCCCTGGAGGATGTACCTGGTAGTCATCCACCACGCTGAAGGTGTACTCGTGGCGTGCAATCAGGTGGTGGCAGTTCTTGCACAGGTCTGCAGAGGAAGCCAGGTAAGGGCAATCAGGGATGGGGATATGACGACGTGCCCAGCCCTGGCACAGTGCTCACCGGGGACCCTTGGCTTCACCTCTGAACCCACTTCAGCCCCTACACGGGGCAAAAGTCCCACCCTGGGATGCTGAGCCCCCTGAGCCCCAAGTTAGGTCTCAAAGCACCAACCCTCCCCCCCACTCCCCCAGCAGGTAATCACCCCTGTAAGGCCCCAAACCCTCAATATCCCCCTCAAGGCTCAACTCCTCCCAGTTTCCCCTTTATGGCACCGGACTCCCAATGCCCCCTCGAGCCCAATACCTAAACACTCCCTCCACTCTCCTCCCTCTCCCTAATATCCCCCATACATCCCTCCAACACTCCTCTCTTTACAGCACCAAACACCACCAATTACCCCCTTCAGACACAAGCCTTGAGCCCCAGGTCCCCCCCTCCCGGAGACCCCGCAACACCTCCCCCCACAAAAGGCAAACCCACCCTAAAGCACCAGACCCCCAACACACCCCTCCACCGCCAAAAAAAACCACCAAACCCCCAAGAAACCGCCAGGAGTCCCACACCCCCCTTCCAGACAGCCTCAGAGCCCCCCCACACCAGGCCAGACCACCCCCCGCTCACGGTCGTAGGTGATGATCTCATCGTCGCCGTGCAGGCCGGCGGCGCGGTTGCCCAGCAGTACGAAGTCCCGGCGGCCGCACCGCGCGCACCCCACGAAGTTAAGGAGGAAGGAGCCGCCCTCCAGGCACGTGGTGCCCTACGAGGGGACACCGCACGGCTCGGCACCGGGCTTCCGTGCTCCCGCCCCCCACCCGGCCCGGCCGCAACCACGGCCTACCCACCCGCTCGGGGTATTCCGTGCCCACACAGCCCCCGCACATCACGCCGCTTCTCGCGAGACTTCCGCCGCGCATAGGGTGGCGATTTGCGCTGACGGAGGCGTGGCCAAGCGTAACCACGCCCCCCCTCCCCCCTCCCCACGAGCGCACAGGGCTGAGTGGGGGCAGCTTGAGTTATTGAGGGGTGGTGGGGGCGCTCGGAGCTACGGGCTGCCGTTAGGGGTAGCTGTCACTGTTGGGCTCCTAGGACTGGTTGGGCAGCACCCAGGGGGGCAGTCAGGACCAACGGGGGGCACCCAGGAATAATTTAGGAGGCACTGAAGGCCACTGGGGGGGGCATCTAACTTTAAGTGAGTGGGCCCCTAGGGCTAGTTAGGGGTCCCTCGGGCTAGTTAGGGGCACCCAGCGCTAAATGGGGGCACCCAGCTCTCACCTGAGGGAACCTAAGGCCAATGTGTGTCGGTCAGAGCTAAGTGGGGAGTCACCCATGGTTAACTGGGGGCACCCAGGACAAAGTGGGGTCACCCAGTATCAACTGGGGGCACTTAGCACTCCCAAGGCTATTGGGGGGCAACACTAACTGAGGGGTTCACCTAAGACTAATTAGGGGCACCCAGCAGTACTTAGGAGCACCCAGTGCTAAATGAGGGGGTAACCAATGCTATAGGAGGGGACACCCAGCGCTAACTGGGAGGAATCATAGGATTAACTGTGACTCCCCAGCCGTATGGGTAAGTAGGGCCAACTGGGGGCAGCCAGCACTAACTGGGAGACGCACAAAGCTATTGGGGGCTCACTTCGTCCTAACTGGGGGACACCTAGGACCGGCTGTGGTCACCCATCACTAACTGGGAATGCTCCTCACCCCGCTTCCTCCCCTCTCCCCCCGCCCCGCTCCACCCTGCCGGCGCTCCCGGTACCGGCGGCGCTGGCCGGGGGGGGCCGCTGTGCTGCATTGCGGGGCGGCACCGCGTCCCCGCCCGCCTCCGCCCGGCCCTGGGGGGGAGCGGGGCTATCGGGGCGGGCAGCGCCGGGCCCCGGGCAGGAATGTCCCTGCGCGCTCCGATAATGGTATTTATAGCGCGGCGCCCGGCGGCTCCGCTCCCCCCGCCCCGCTCCGCGCCCGCACTCGCCGCCCTTCGCCCTCCCGCAACCGCCGCCGCCCCGCGCAGGTGAGTGCGGCACCGGGGGGCGGGGGGACGACCGAGGGGGCGGTGGGGATGGACGTCCCCGAGCGCCCTGGGGACACCCAACGGGGGGTGGGGTTCCGCTCGGTGTCCTTGGGGGAGGATGCAGCCATGGGGTGCCCCGATGTGGGGCGTCCCGATGCGGGGTGCCCCAGTGTAGGGTGTTCCAGCGTGGGGTGCTGCCATTTGAGGTGCCCCGATCGAGGTGTCCCAATCCTTTGGGTTCGGTTTCGCTCAGAGTGGGGTGTTTTTCTCCATGCTCGCCGCTGCTGTGCTGGGTTCGGTGCCACAGTGAACAGCCCCACTGTGGGATGTTGCTGCGGAGTTTTGGGGTCTCATATGGGTCTACTGGGTTGTGGGTGCCCCCCGCTCTAGAGAGAGAGCGGGGCTGAGCCCAGGCCTATTTATAGCTGGCAATGCACGCAGCGTGGCAGCACGTGTGTGTGCCACCGGCGGGCGACTGCAGGGACAGCGGGACAGGGACAGGTATTGTGGGGCCCCGGGGAGCTGTGCCGTGCCGTGCCATACCGTGCCGTGCCATGCCATTCTGTGCCATGCCATGCCATTCTGTGCCATGCCATGCTGTGCCACTAATGGACACAGTGCCAACCCTCCTCCCACAGCAGTGCTCTGAACCCACTTTGGTCATGGAGATTTGGGGTGATGCTGAGTGTTGGCACCCCATAGACTCACTCTTTTGGGGTGAATGGGGATCCCATACGCTGCTGTTCTCCTGTACCCCTGTCCGGGATACCCACAGAGGGTGGCAGGGGCTCAGGGCACCAAGCGGTGGGATCACCGGGCACAGTGTGGGCACTGTGGTGGCAGCTCAATGCCAGCCCAGGGAAGTGCTGATTCACGGCACTGAGCAGCAGACTGGGAAGGCAGCAGGGGGCAAGTGGGATGCCCTACACTGTGACCCCACTGGGCTCTGTGTTTTCCTGGTGGTGGCAGAGGCAGATTTGAAGGGTCGGCGCTCCCTACGCTGTCAGTGTGCACTGGCGGCACGTTGGGGGCCTTGCCAGCACTGGGGAGGAGCAGGAGGATGCTGGCTGCCCGCTGGCATGGCAGGCGCAGAGGCATGGCACTGCTCAGCAGCACGTGTGGGAGGGTTCCCACATATGGGATTCCCCACGGTTGGAGTGTTTTTGAGGTACTGTCTGGCACAGTGCTAGGATGCTGTGTGCTCTGCTCCTGCATGCTCTGCATGTACACCCCTCCCTAGCCTCATTCACACATGCACCACTAAGATTAGGGCACAGCACAGCACCCAGCCCAGCCTGGCTGGCCCCGATAACCCCCCCTGCGCGCAGGTTTTTTCCCCCCGAAACCCTCACAGCCCTTGGGGTCGCCCCATGGGGGACACCTCAGTGTGCCATACATCCACAGGTGCTGAGTCCCAACTGGGCAAACCCCATAGCACAAAGAAGGTGTGAGGATTTTGGGTGCTGGAGGTGACAGCCCCCAGCCTGGCTCCTCACACCCTTCAGGGGCCCCAGGGCGGCCGGCAGCTGCTGGCAGCATTTTTAGATACCGGCTGGTCCTATCTGTGGCTCAAATGTCCCTGAGGGCGGTCGTCCCCTCCCTGTCCCCCCTGAACCAGCAGCTGTTGCCTGCTGTCTGCGTAAAGCCCCTCCGGCGCAGGCGTGTGTCAGTGCCAGTCCCTTTGGGTGCCACCCATGGATGCTGTGGGACCCATATGGGGTGACAGCCGTGGGGAGCACCCAAACACCTGGGAGCAACGCTAAATCCCGCTGAGCTGATTAAGCGGCAGGTCTTAGCCGCAAATCCTACAGCACAGCGGGGCGGTCATGCCTGTGCCCGCATCACCCAACGAGGGTCCTTTCCCCGTAGCCGCCGGCCACACAGCCGCGGGACACCGGGACCATGACCTCCGAGAATGACTATGACCATCTGGAGCTGCAGCAGTCCTACAGCCACTGGGATGCCTCCGACGATGAGTTGGACAACGACAACAGTTCAGCGCGACTCTTTGAGCGCTCCCGCATCAAAGCGCTGGCAGGTATGGGGCTGGGTTTGGATCGCTGGAGTCCCTGACACTATGAGTTGGAGATGGTGTCACTGTGGTTGCTCCCCCGTTGCAGATGAGCGGGAGGCAGTGCAGAAGAAGACTTTCACCAAGTGGGTGAACCTGCACTTGGCTTGCGTCACCTGCCGCATCTCCGACCTCTACTTGGACCTCCGGGACGGGCGGATGCTCATCAAACTGCTGGAGGTGCTATCCAAAGAGATGCTGGTATGAGTGTCCTCCTGATAGAAACCCTGGGGTCCATCCTGTGCCATCTCACGCCCTGCTGTGCTGTGATGTGCCTTGCTGTGCTGTTGCATAGCTGCGCCATGCCTTCTCAACCCATGCTGTTCCGTCCCATACCATCACGTGCCATGACATCCCATGCTGTGTGTGCAGTCTCATTCCGTGTTATGCTGTGCCATGCCATCCCATCCCATGCTGTTCCATACCACAGTGATCTGTTTCCTCCTGTGCTATCTCACGCCATTCCACTCTATCACATCCCATGCCATCCCATCTTGTGTCATCTGGTGCCATCTCACTCTATGATATACCATGCTATGCCATGCCATGCCATGCTGTCCTATGCTATACCTTTCCCTGCCATCCCATACCTTGTGCCATTCCATGCCCTTCCATGCCATCTCATCCTATGCCATGCCATCCTATGCCATACCATGTTCTTCCATACTATCCTGTGTTGTTCCACGCTGTATAATCCCATGCCATGCCATCCTTTGCTATCCCATCTTATGCTGTACCATGCCATCCTATGCCATGCCAACCCATGCCATGCCATCTCATGCCTCATCATTCCATACCACAGTGTTACATTCACATTCCCTGCTATACTATCACCCCGTGCCATCCTGAGCCATAGCATTCCATGCCAAGCCACCCCTTGTGCTGCGCCCTGACTGCTGGGCATGGCAGTGGGGGTCCCTGGGCAGGGCAGGGCATGCCAGGCAGTGAGGGCAGGACACTGAGTGCTTTTGTGCCCCAGCCCAAGCCCACCAAGGGCCGGATGCGCATCCACTGCCTGGAGAACGTGGATAAGGCACTGCAGTTCCTGAAGGAGAAGCAGGTGCACCTGGAGAACATGGGCTCCCATGACATTGTGGACGGCAACCACCGCCTCATCCTTGGCCTCATCTGGACCATCATCCTCCGCTTCCAGGTACCGTGGGCAGGTGGCACCCACAGACTCAGTGCCCCAGCAGGAGCCATATTCCACCATCTTGGGTTGTCAATCTGTCCCACAGGTGCAAGATGTCATCAAGGAGATGAAGGAGGGTCCAGAGACACGCTCGCCCAGGGACGCGCTGCTGCTCTGGTGCCAAATGAAGACAGCAGGGTAGGTGGAGGTGGATTCAGTGGCCTTGGGGCCCAGGGGTGCACAGAGGGTGATGGTGACCCCTTTGTTTCTTCACCGTAGCTACCCTCACGTGAATGTCACCAACTTCACCTCCAGCTGGAAGGACGGACTGGCCTTCAACGCCCTCATCCACAAGCACAGGTTCATGGCACAGCCGCTGGCATAGGTACAGTGTCAGCGGTATCAGCTGTGTCAACATGTCTCTGTGCTCTCTGTCCCCAGGCCTGAGCTGTTTGACTTCAAAACTCTGACCAAGTCCAACGCCCGGCACAATCTGGAGCATGCCTTCAGCGTGGCCGAGCGGCACCTGGGCATCACCCCACTCCTTGACCCTGAAGGTGAGTCCACCTGCCTCATTTCCCCCCCCCCTTGGGACATACCCATGGAGGGATAGAAGTGGAACAACCCCAGAGGTGGCTCTGCGTGGGATGTGAATGTGGGGACCCATCAACACCGTGGGATGGTGGTACCCCATTGTGCTGGTTGGGGCTGACACCTCTCTGCCACTGCACAGATGTGTTCACGGAGAACCCCGATGAG